CCCGCCTCGCCCCCCTCCCCCTTCTCCTTACACCCTCTTCTATTCCGATTGTTATTGGCGCCAGTGGCGCTTCGCGAAATCGCGCCGCTCCGAAAGAGAGCAATTTTCGCCCCCCTCTCCCCCTTCTGCTGGGCCCCTCAGCACGCCCCACAAGCCGCGCCGGCCCGCGCCGTCCTGTTTGGTTCGTCACCAGGGATGTAACCATGACCAAAGATAAAGACTCTTTTCGGCGCTCTCACTCTATGACGGCCTATCGCCGGCGCCGCCTTCTTCGCCACCTTCTCCTCCCCCTTCTTCTTCAGCTGCTTCACTTTTCACTTGCATTTCTTGCGAATCCAATCGGAAGGGAGGCGGGGGGGTTGGTGGGGTTGGTGTCGCGATGCGTCCTTGCGTTGCCGCGGTTTCGGAGACGACGTCGCATCGAAACCGATAAAAGTGGCGGGCCGCGGACACCAGGGCGTCAGTCTCGTTTCGGCAGCCGCGCGGCCAGTGCTGTGTAGTGCGCGTGTGTTGGTGACAGTGTTCGTGTGTGTGTGTTTGTGTGTGTTTGTGAGTGTAGTGGTGTGCGAGTGCAGTTCAGTGAAGTGCAACCCCGGGCGCTGAGGATGGCGGTGCAGCCCGTGCCCCTGGTGCTGCTGGCCCTGGCGCTGGTCGCCACCCCCGCCCTGGGCATGGCCGCGCCCGCCAACGCCACCAGCGAGGAGGTCGTCTCCAACTCCATTGCCAGCGAGAATAAGAGGTGACCGGAAGTGGAAGCGGTTGCCGAGTAGGAAACGCACCGGAAGTGCACATCGTGTAGACACCCAGGAGCCTTTGGTGTTAACCTGATGCGCTTCTGTTGCAGCGCGCCGGGGGAGGGGCTGGTGCAGGCGGCCGTGCAGCGGGGCTGCGCCGCGAGCTACACCATGACCTGCCTCAAGCTGGACGCCCTGAGCGTGTTGAGCCGCATGGCCGTGCCCGCCTCGTACGACCTGCTGCCCGGCGTCACCATCCACCGCCAGGAGGCGAAGCAGGCTGCGGGCCAGCAGACCGCCGAGCTGCCCGCCGACCTGATGCGCTCCCTGGCCGCGGACAGCGCGCCCAAGGTGAACAGGAGGCTCGACGACTACCTCATGTCGCGCTTCGGCAGCTTCCTCGACTCGCACACCGTCCAGGTGCACCTGCTGGACCTACAGCCGGTGGCCAGCCTGCGCCGGGCCCTCCAGGGCAGCGAGAACGACTCCACAGGTGAGTAACGACGTGCGGATTTAATTGTCTCCGTCGATCAATTATATTTTCGCACCGCCGATTTTGACGCGTCGAAATTGATTAATGTCTGCGCCCATCCCCCCTCCTCTCAGGACGGCGAAAGGCGAATGGCATCTGGCAGCAGCTGATGGGCGCCGGCATGATGATGGGCGGGTCCACGCTGACCATGGGGCTGTCCGCGCTGGCCGCCATGGCCGGCAAGGCCCTGATGCTGTCCATGCTGTCGCTCGTGCTGTCCGCGCTGTCCGGCATGAACGGAGGCGGTGGCGGCGGCGGCGGCGGCCACTCGCAGAAGCAGACGACCTACGAGATCATCAGCAAGCCCATCTACACGCACGGCCACTCGCACTCGGCCGAGTTGCACCACGAGCCGTCCGGCCCGGCGGGCTACGGGCTGTACGGGCGCGCCAAGGATGCGGCCGAGGGCGCGCTGGCGGCCGGCACCGGCGCGAGCGGCGTGGGCGGCAGCGCCCTGGGCGCACCCCCGGGCTCCGCCTACATCACGCAGTTCCCGCGCAGCCTGCAGGAGTCCTCGGCGCAGGTAGGTTGGTGAGAGAACAGGACCCTCGAGACGCGGGTGGCTGCTCGCAATTTGGGGAATTTTGATTTTCGGGAAAAATT